ATGGAAAGAATTGCATTAACTGCATAGGGTGATGAATTAGGCTCTACGATTCTGATCCTGAGCCATCAGCAACACGGATAGAAATACCTTTAAAAATTTGGCCCCTCCCATCTCACTACTTCAATAACCACCATAACATTTTATTGAAATTCAAGATAAGAATAATCCTTTAGATAATTTGCATTGGCTTTTCTTTTGTTATCGGGGAACACAGGTTTCGCTCTGTCATTTGGTGCCAGGAAAATAGCCAACAGGGACTATTTCAGTTAAGATATTGAGAAACCAAGCGGTGCAAACCAATCAGCCCAATGCAAATTGGTGATTAACATGACAGCTAGATGGGCTTGCATGACCATAACATTATTAATTAAACAGCAGTTGGGTTAATCAAGATAGCAAAAGTAATTTGTTGGAATAAATATTTTATTAGTGTGCCCATCAATAAAGAGAAAATTCATTTGTAATAATATTCAGATTGTGTCTGGTATAATCTGTTTAAGGATCTGGATCTAATGGCTGCATAATGGTATGTTTCCACCTTATCACTTCCTGTTAATTGTACTGTAAATTTCAGTTACCTGATTGTAATTACTGGCATATCATTTATCAACTGAACTTTAATGTCCACTGGTGACCAACTGAGCCTTATAGTAGAATGTTAAGAAGTTCTTTAGTTGTATGTGGCTTTATTTTTAAACAATGTGCATTCTTTCATTCAATCAACAGGAAGATGTTCATTAAAGGGAGGGGAGTTATGATGTATGCCACCAGATCTTCCCTGTCCCCCCCAAATTATGCTTGTACTACATACTTTGGTAAGATATAAATAAAGAGATTGCTTACTCCCACTCATGATAAAGAATCAGACATTTAGTGCACTGTGAAGAAATTGTGTATTTTAAACATAGTCCCTAAAGAACACATAACGTGTAATTGGGATTTCTATCAGGGTGAGGGAAGTTTAAAAGCTAGAGCATAGATTTATACAAAAAGCACAGGTTGTCACAGTTCAGGGCAACTGCACCTGTATTCCCCCTCTGTGTCAACCAAGGACACATACTTTAGGCTTCTGGCTCCCAGCAGTTCCCTCTCCCAAGTGAAGACCTTCATTTCTCCCTGCTGGCTGGGGATTTTAAAATTGTACAGCTCCTTGTCTTTCACTGTGATATCTCCAGCAAGTCAGGTTGTCTAAAAAGGCTACTGTCTGCACTTTGCTTCCTCTCCAAGGGCTATGACCCCTGTTTTCCTCCCCCTGCCTCCCCAGTTATAAGTTACCACACAGCTCCTTCTAAATAAGCACATTTGTTCTTAATTTTTAGTTTTATGTTTGAGGCCTACAGCTGAGTTGAGTCTGTACTTGGGAAAGTCTTTACCATTGGGAACTTGATCTCCAGCATTGCTGCATCATTACATAGTCAGTTTGGTTCTTTGTCATATTGTCAGGTGACCTCCACATTTATAAATGTCTAGGATGTTGGGTGAAGATGATGTTTGTAATGACTCAGGATTCCCACCAAGACCTATTCCACTTGTTTATCTAGAACACCTCATCCAGTTCTGGGAGAACATTTCATCCAGTTCTCTGGGATCCAAAAACTCAGTTAGACTCCAACATGTCGTTGAGATTACTTTATTAAGAACATAAGAACAGCCATACTGGGTCAGACGAAAGGCTCTAAAATTTGCAACAAAGTCTCCAAATAGAAGGGTGATATCTTTGGTGTTTCAGTGAGTGTTTCTTTAGGTCATTCATAAAACTCATCAATCATACCATTGTAAACTGCTGTTGTAGGGGCATATACCTGTATGAGTGACACATTGATTGGCTTCGCCCGAAGGCCAATTTTAATGATTCTATCATTGGATTATATCCAGACACATACTCTGATGTCTCTTTGGATAAGATAAATGTAATCCCACTGTCTCTCCTGGGGGAAGTATAGTGCCTGATGATAGCACCAAGAACAAGAATGACCTGAGCCTTCATAAATGAATCATCAAAATAGGAACATGAAATATGAGGAGCATGTATGAAGGGAGGCTTGCCATTGCGACCAAAGAATTGGAGAGGTGTAATATAGAACTTTGTGGAATCTCAGAGCTGTGTTGGAAGGATAGGGATCATTTCATGACAATGGATGGATACATAATGTGCTATTCTCTCTTATAACTAAGTCCCAAATCATCTAAAAATGTTTAGGTCCAAGCCTATGCCTTGAATTGCACCTGAAAAATATTGGCAGCAGTGCAGATCAAGGCAAAAGAATAACATGTTTCCTATGAAAAGTTCTTCTAAGCAAGTAACAAACGACCTTCTGCAGGAACTGAAATTTCCAAGTGACATGATATTACTGTTCTGATGCTTATAGCCAATGACAGTTTTTCTGAGTTTGCCGATGAACACTAGTCAGTCAGGACCTGTGGTCTTCAAGAGTCACCCCCACATACATAGCACTGCAGTAATCCAATCAGCAGATGACAATGGCATGGATAACGAGTAGAAGAGTTTTCATTAAAACTGATTGTATAATACAAAAAATGCTTTGTTATTTGTATCAGAGGGGTAGCAGTGTTAGTCTGAATCTGTAAAAAGCAACAGAGGGTCCTGTGGCACCTTTAAGACTAACAGAAGTATTGGGAGCATAAGCTTTCGTGGGTAAGAACCTCACTTCTTCAGATGCAAGTCTTGTTATTTGTAGTGTCATATTATTCACTGTTCTGACAACTAGACATCACGGCTTATTTATGGAAATGTCTGCAAATCACACAAGTTTCACAATTTTTTCCACAAATGAGTATTCTACTGGAAGTGTGTACAGGAAATGCATGCTATTGAGCATCCTTTGGTCATTATTCTCGTATTCAAACTATTTTAGGGTGCAGAAATAAAACCAAATGACTTAGGTGACCACATCACACAACACAAATAACGAATAGCCAACAGTCAAAGGGAAGTTGATGAGCACACCATAAATGAAATTTGTATAACACAACCAGAGGTTTCCAGACATGGAGGAAATTGTAGTGTAGGCTCCGCTGCACACCCATGATCATCACCTGCACCTTCTGAATTCACCATCGCTAGTTAATTTCCCAAAGAACTGTAAATGTGTAGTTGTTTCTTTTTCTTGTAGAATAACTTATTATAAAAGGCAAAACAAAATAGCTAGACTCTCCAGCAGTCCAGTGCCCTTCCACACCATGCAGAAACCGTGGTTCATTACTGACTCATCGGAATGCAGTGTTTGAGATGTTTTACTTAGACATGGTCTGATATGGAGTTTAAGAAATATGGGAGGACCAGTGATTGTGGGCATGGTGAGTGAAAAATCTCGGAATCAATGGGTATGCTGCCATGACAGACTGCACTTCCCTGAGACCACTTCTAGCCGTGCAGGACTAGCAATACCATGATACTGCTCTTAAGGTTCTTCTGGCAATCGAAAGTTTTTCTGAGACTGTCCTAGAACACTACTTGCCCTGTGTGCAAGGGAAAAAACAAACAAACAATTAAATAAAGGGTTTTGGGGAGGCTTTTAGGCTAAAGTAATTATCCAGTAGCACAAAATACATAACTTTGATGAACCCTCACCTATGACGGTAGCAAAGTGACTTAGTACACTAAGTGCTTAATGCTTTTGTGCATTGACCTTCTGTTTTCTGAAGTTGAAGACAACTACCAGGTTTGGATCTGAGCTCAAAATGTGTATCACTGTATGTTTGCTTGGGGAAGTGGGATGGGGGGAAATAGAGAGAGGAGCAAGAGAGAGACAATTTCAGGGAATTCCTGTGTCTTTTACATGGTGCAAACTGAAGAGACAATGTTTATTAGCAGTACTGTGGCTGTGTACAAAACTTGACTTCTTATATTGCTGCTTTTGCTAAGCAGGTGTCAGTATAATGTATACACTCTATACCCTTTATAAGGCAGTTTGAATGTGCCAGTAATGGTTTGGTATCATGAACTCTTATATAATTGGGAACCAGCCATGCTTACTGTCACTTGAACATAACATCATACCCAAGAGCTTTCCTATAGATAATAGCATATTTTAGGCATAAATACCCATCCTTAACATTGCAAAAAAAATTAATATAGCAAATTAGGTCACAAGTACCTTACCCTGATTTTACCAGTCATGTAGTGTACAATGTGTGTTCTATCATTGGGCCAACTGGAGCGCTAGATATGAGAGATGATAGAGAAACAAGCTGTTTTTCTGGATTAAATGTTGTTTGAAGATTGAAATTGCTTTAATGAAAAATCATCCACAAGTAGTGCCTACAAAAGTATTAATTCTATAAATGAAATGCTAAGGGTCAGATTTAATGACCCATGTGAAGGCTTACAACAGGCTGCAGTAACAGCTCAAAGAGTTCCCTACAGGGTTGGTGAAGAGATAAAAGTAGACCCCGTGCCTCTCTTGTATGTATCTTGAGCCGTACAATCATAGAATCATAGGACTGGAAGGGACCTTGAGAGGTCATCTAGTCCAGTACCCTGCATGAGCCCTCTGGAGGCTTCAAGGAGGAGAAGGATGGTGATGTAGAAATGACTGATGTTCTCTTTTCTGTACAGGCAGGGGGAGTTCCTCACACAATGTCTATCACCCAGCTTATTCTGGGTCCTCATAAATGTGTGTGAAGAGCAATTTTATATTTGAAATGGACCAGATTGCAATTATCTTTTAAAAAATCCCAGAGGAGGGTAACCCCCAACATTTCTACAAGGCTTTCATATTAAACAGGTTGAACACTTGACTATATTATCTATATACTCAGTATATTTTCTCAAGAATAGAGAATATAGATTTCTAGGGCAGTGAAGTTTAATGGGTAAGGTTTGTACAATGTGTGTTTGTATGATCACGTGTTGAAATCTGCTTTTAAATTAAGAAAATGAAAGAAAAACTTTTTTGAAATACAATCTTGGCAGCTGTATTTATTGAGTATTTTTTACGCATTTTCTAACTAACAATTTTCCTCTTATTTTCATGCAGTTGATTGGTTTTGTGTATGCCTGTTACGTGATCAGTGTTTTCATGGAAGAAGAGGACAGCTGTAAGTACTGATACACATCTACTCATCTCTGGAGCTACAATGTCTGGGGTGAGACTTAGTCTTGCAATAGACAACTATAGAGACAAAGAACCAAATTTGCAAAATTTAGCCTTCATTTGCACACAGACAATTTTGTTTCTGCAAACACTCTCATGATAGAATATTTGTGTGCAAAACCCACCTAGATGGATTTTGTGAACTACCACAGCCACATTAAAGCCATATTGCTCAAAAATATGTGAGCAAGAGTGTGTACAGCCAAGGTTTGGTGTATGTAAATACAGCTTGGATTGAGGCCCCTTTGAAAATGTGTCCTGAAGCTATTTAACCTTGGGTTTAAAAATAACCAGAGTGTCAACAGTAAAGTTAATGGTAGGCTACTGGACAAGTCACATTGGCAATGAACAATACAGCTATCATTACACTGCAGTGGACACACACACAGTACTGTTACAGCCAATTAGACACTTGAAATGCAGCTGTCACATTTTAAATTTGCCTTTAACAAGAAAAATAAAACTAAGTAGTTTGCAAAGTTAGGAAGGAAGGAAGACCCTATAAAATAAGTATTGATCAAAAGCCAGTAAGTGAACTCTTCAAAAACCTGAACAAAAACAAAACAGTCAGTCCAGCTGATGTGTGTGGCTCTCAGAGTTCCCAGGACTGTGAGTCAGCTTCTTACCTCCTGCATCTAGTTGAAGCTGTTTGTCAGCGCCCTAGCACCACCAGCGTTTCAGCCACTCAAGCACTCTCCTCTGGGCTTATGCCAGCCCTTCTATTGCCTTGCCTTAACAATTGGTGCACCCTAATCCCTGAGTCCCGTTGAATTGTTCCCCTGTGATATTTAACCGCTGACGCTGGATACTCACAGAAATTCCAGATCCTCTACACCAGGTATCGGCAACCTTTGGCACGCAGCCCATCAGGGAAATCCGCTGGCGGGCCGGGACAGTTTGTTTACCTGCAGTATCCGCAGATTTGGCCGATCACAGCTCCCACGGGCAGCGGTTCTCCATTCCAGGGCAATGGGGGCTGCGGGAAGTGGCGGCCAGTACATCCCTTGGCCCACGCTGCTTTCCCACAGCCCCCATTAGCCTGGAACAGCAAACCGCAACCAGTGGGAGCTGCGATTGGCCGAACCTGTGGATGCTGCAGGTAAACAAACCATACCGGCCCATCAGTGGATTTCCTTGATGGGCTGCATGCAAAAGGTTGCCGATCCCTGCTGTACACCCAGAGATGTGCCAGGCACCCCAGTTTCCCCTTCAACCAATGCTCCTGTAAACCACACAGGACTTTTGAGCACTTAGGATAAAGCAAACATAGGTTTATTTAAGAAAGAATAAAGATTTAACTAGAAACAAGAGAGTGGTGGAAACAATGGTTATGATAGAAAATAAAATATAAAATATGAACCTAGGTTTACAGTTATCAATAGTTGCCTTTCTTATCTAACATAGTAGATTTCATCCCAATGTTCAGTCTAAGGCTAGGTCTACACTACCCGCCTGAATCGGCGGGTAGAACTCGACCTCTCGGGGATCGATTTATCGCGTCCCGACAATCGATCCCCGAAACGACGCTCTTACTCCACCAGCGGAGGTGAGAGTAAGCACCGTCGACAGAAAGCCGCAGAAGTCGATTTTGCCGCCGTCCTCACAGCGGGGTAAGTCGGCTGCGATACGTCGAATTCAGCTACGCTATTCACGTAGCTGAATTTGCGTATCTTAAATCGACTCCCCCCTGTAGTGTAGATGTACCCTAAGACATAGTTGTGTGGTTTCTCAATAACCAAACCAAATAATCCAAATGTTCATGAAAGCACCCCCCTCTGCCAGGGGTTTTCCTCTGTGAATGGATTGAGAGTGCCTTTCATAACACTCTTTCATACTGAAAACAGTCTTTTGTTTCTAGTTGCAGTCAGGGTGAATCCCTGCTTTGTTCCAGAGTTTCTTTTTACCGTTATGTGGCTTTAATTGTCTCTCATTGATCTATGGTTTTTCATTCACTGTTCTGGAATGTGGCAAGGGTGGACAATAAAATCTTGCCTTTACCTCACCAGCTGACTAGGGAGAGGTGACAACTCCCTCTTGCTTGAATGGGTCATCATCAAAACACATTACCACCTGGTGACTAATTTCTACTTCAAGTCCATAAGGCATACTTTCAATATAAATATATTATTCCATAAATGTTACCCAGAAAATACATCTCACAATCGTTATGAGTCTTGACAAATTACAAGCTTTCTGTAAATATCTTACATGTTTCTCTTTATGGATACATATCCTATAATACATGTTTTGTGTAGTGAGTTTATCAAGTCTGAGGTGAGAGCTGTTTGCAAAGAACAGGGGACCCTTTGCCAAGGAGTCTCTGAGTCTCAGCATTTCTAAGGATATAGGAATTAGCTAACAAACTTTCTGTACACCACACAATTGTCTTCATTATTTTTAAAACCCCTGGAGAACCACAATGATACTGGAAGAGTGAATAAAAGCAAATGTGGTACCAGCCTTTAAAAAAAGAAAGGACGAGTGGTCCTGGCACTTACTTTCTCATACACAAATACTTACATAGCCTATCTTCACCCTTTAGGAAAATAATGTAATAAATGAGAAAAATCACTAGACAGCTAGAGTGTAAGTAATAAGCAACAAATACGTTAGACTAAATCTTGACAAACTTGGTTGCTTTCTTCAAAGAACTACATGAAATTCATTTGGATTTTAGGAATGTATGTGATAATGTCTCACAAAATCGTATTGAAAATTGTCATTCAAATTGACTGATGGAAACTGCCATATTTTGCTTGAAAACTGTGTGAAGGACCATAAACGAATTGTTATTACGTAGTATAAATAGTAATATATTTCACTGAAAGGAATTCTCTAGTGGGGTACAACATGCATGAGGATAAGGCCAAGTCTACTCAACATCTTCTTTTAGGTCTGGAATGGAAAGGAAATAGCAATACTAAGTTGGGAAGAGATGCAAATATCAGAGAGACTATTAGATAATATAGAGAGGCCCCAAAAAAATTACAAATATGGACAGAGACTAACATAGTGAGTTAGAAAGATGAGAGTTGGGGGTAATAACCTGAAACACATGTTTTGAATTTTAAGGAGAACCCCAGCTAGCACTAATTCTGAAAGACATTTAGGGATGGTAATGGCCAGCAAATTAGTAATGAGTGTGCAGTGCAGTGCGACCGCAAAAAAAGCCATTGTGTTTTGAGGTGCATAAACAGAGTTCTTGTTTAATGGATCATTGGGGAATGGGAGTGAGGAGATAATAATTGTCCTTATATATATGGCTCTGGTAGGACTGCATCTGGAACATTACATTCAGATCTGGGAATTTCATTACCAGAAACATAGCAACAAATGTCATAGACTAGAAACATCAAATGATTAGGGATGGTGGATGCACTGATTAGAAAGGAGTGCCATCAGCTGTTTTATTTATAAGATGCTTCACACACTCGGACCTTTGAAGACTGGCTCTTTACTTTTTGAGTAAGTAGTTTTCTGTTCTCAATGTTGCTCAATCCTAAATAATAGTGTGCTTCATATGGCAAATGTTTTAGTGATGATGTATGTAAAGAAATACACAGTTGTCTCTCACCAGAAAATAGAAAATACTATTGGAAAATGTAATCGCCATGCTATACCATTTTTATTCAGAACCTGACAGCAGGTTTATAGTCAAGTGCATTAGCCTTGATCCTGCTTCACAAAACTCATTGACTTCAGCAAAATTAGGATTTAACTCTGGGCTGCTCTTGCAAGCTGATGAGTATTCCATGGTATGTTACATCAATTCCGTTTCAGGTAATGGAAAGTTGAGGGTGTGTCAGTTTCAGGGTAACTGTGCCTGTATTCCTTCTTTGTGGTCCCTCAAGGACACATGCTGAAAGGTTTCCAGCTCCCTGCTATCACCTCACTTGAGTGGAGACCCACATCTCTCTCTCCCTTCCGAGACCAGGGTTTCTTAAGGCTGCACAGTTCCCTACCTATACTGTGGTATTCCCTGCAAGCCAGACTGCCTAAAAAGGCCAGCATCTGTGCTTTGCTTTCTCTCTGAAGGCTATGAACAGTGTAGTTGCCAATAATTGCAAGTCACCACACTGCTCTTTCTAAGCAAGGATATTTATTCTTAAGATGAAAGCATTACAGAGAAAACATCAAAACACTAAAAGAACTCGCATGCGTGCTAAAAAGCTTACCAGAGGTAACCCCAACTCTAACCTCAGGATCTGGTAGGTGTCAGTCCTTCAAAACCCACAACTGGGTTTTTCCTGTGGCTATAGGTTCACAACTGTTTCATATTCAGAGCCGGAACACAAGCTGGGCAGTTCAGCCATTTTTTATACAGCTTGGACCTCTGATCGCCAGTTTCCAGGAACAGGTAATCAGTAGACAATCACCCTCTTCTCAGGATGTGAGTTCAAAAGGCTGGATTGTTGCATAATCAGAGGTAGGAAATTTGCATTAACCTCTCCCTAGGTATCCCTCATTAAATCCTCTTACCACTTATCGTGCCCAAAAATTCTAGTCTTGTCTGGCGCATCTTCAGTATAGTTATTTGAACTCCCAGGTCTCACATCTGTCATATTCCCCACCACCACCCCCACACACCCAAAAGAGGTTACATACAGTCCCAGCCCACAATAATACATAAACCATTCATTTAATATAATAGACCCCAACGATATTTAATTTAATAAGGTCTCCTAAGGATATGGCAGGACACTGCCATATCTATCATGGAGGCCACTCAATACTTCACAGGCTCAGGTCCCTAACACATTTAATTGGGGTGCAAATACATCATGTGATACAGAACACAAAAGCAGCCTGTTTTTTAGAACTTTAGAGAGATCATGTACCTGAAGTCAGTTTTAACTTGTCTTCACTATATACTAATGACAAACAATGTTTTGTTGTTGGATGCAAATGGCAATTTTACATATCCAGTGAAAGTTTATTTTAATT